TTTCTTTGAAAGAAATGAAAAAGTCTCTCTTCTCTCTTTTTCTTTCTACATTTTTTTTTATCGTGAAAATCTTATGTTCAAATTTCAAGGTGAAGGAATAAAAATTTCAGGGTGACGTTGGATTTGTCCCTTGTCGCCTCTTACTAGCTCTTTTGAGTTTAGTGGTAATTTAACACGGTCGGAATGCAGGTAAAAGATTTATATACTGGAATGGGACAGAGCCAAGGCTGTGTTTGGCAGAAATGGAATTGATAAAAGAGCTATTGGGAAAAAACAGCAGTGTTTGTGGGAAATCATGGTTGCAAAGACAAGGAACCAAACACTTCATAGGGAAAGGACTATTAATGGCCAATGGGGAAAAATGGTATCACCAACGTCACATCCTTGCCCCTGCCTTTATGGGCCAAAAACTCAAGGTACATATATAAAATGCCAATTATATATTATTAACTTTCAAATTGTTTTAAATAATTTTTATATTATTTAAAAAGCCATTTTATTGAGAAGTATGCGAGAAATATATAAAAAAAAAGCCTGAATAAAAGCACTTCAATTGAGAAAAATAGTAGAAATATGGTAATTATAAAAGAGAGGAGACTTTGATGTCCAACAAGAAGCTAAAATTATAGAATAATTCCCTCCAAAATTTTTTATATTCTTAAACTATGATTTTTATATAGTTGTTACCGTTAACATGATTAACTAAATAATGATGACTTAGAATGACTATTGAACAAACTTTGATGCATTTCGTCCCTCCTCGAACGTACTCGATACTCGAGGATGGTTGAATTGACAAAGTTTAAATCAAAATTCTTCTGTTGTACCTTTTGTCTGTTGAAATGAGAAAACATAGGACCCATATGTTTAAACAATGTTAGTCGGTGAAGAGAAAACATGAACTTTTCTTTTTTTCTTCTCTCTCCATGTTGTAACCTTATTTTTGGATTTGTTTTGTTTGTATTGACATGAATAGAGCTATGCGGGGTACATGGTGGAATGCACTAAGAACATGATCCAATCACTCCAGACCGAGCTAAACTCGGGCCGAACTGAGTTCGAGATTGCCGAGTACATGAAGCAACTCACCGCAGATATCATCTCTCGGACGGAGTTCGATAGTAACTACGACAAAGGGAAGCAAATCTTTCATTTACTCACTCTTCTTCAGCGCCTTTGCGCCCAAGCCAGCCGCCACCTTTGCCTCCCAGGCAGTCGGTAAGGACTCATTTGATAACATTATCTATTTCTTGTTTTTTATTAATTCTTTTTTATTTGCAGAAAAAACTTACCATATTTGTAATTTCTTGTTCTCTCGCACTCTAACAAATTAAAGTTTGAATTGAGAATTATTTATGTTTTAATTATTTATTTTAGATTAGTTTATTATACAATTGATAAGATTTTTTTAGTACGATACGGGGAGGTGGGAGATCGAACTTGCAACCTTTTGATTGGAGATATATGCCAGATATACCAATTACCGTTGATATAAGTTAATAGGACTTTATTTATGATTTAAAAAACTAAAAACATTAACAGCCAACAAAAATAAAGAGACAAAATTTTGAAAAAACACTGCTACAAAACGTTTATGAGTCTCAAAAACTATTTAGTGTCGGATGCTCGTCTCGGATTTGGGTCTCTTCCCACATGATGAAGTTGATCAAGTGGTTTGCTTTGGTGCAGATTCTTCCCAAGCCAATACAACAGAGAAATAAAGTCACTAAAAATGGAGGTGGAGAGGCTGCTGATGGAGATCATTGAGAGCAGAAAAGATGGTGTGGAGATTGGAAGAAGCAGTTGCTATGGAAATGATTTGTTGGGAATGCTATTGAATGAGATGCAGAGGCCTAAGAGAGAAGATGGATTAAGCTTGAACTTGCAGCTGATAATGGATGAATGCAAAACTTTCTTCTTTGCTGGCCATGAAACCACTGCCCTTTTGCTCACTTGGACCATCATGTTGTTGGCCACTAACCCTAATTGGCAACACAAGCTTCGTGCTCAAATCAACCAAGTTTGTAATGGTGCAACTCCCACTCTTGACGATCTCTCTCAACTCACTTTGGTAAGCAAAAACTCAACTTCTTCCCACGTGTCAACTTCGACTTTTAGGGTTTCAGGATAATCTAACATGGTATCGAGTAGATTTGTCTATTACTCTAAAGTGATTTAGTTTAAGAGTATGTGTATAATCTAACAACTGTTTTAGCTTATGTTTTCAAGGTTTAGTGATGGTTTAACTAAGTATTAGAGTAGACGGTTATTAAAACATAATATCTTCGGACATGTCAATTTTTGTTTTTAAGGTTTTAGGATGATCTAACATGGTATCAGGATAGGTTCGTTGCAGAGTCATTTCTAGTATGGTTAATTTCATGTTTTGAGTTTTGTGAGTTGGATTAATATTCAAGCCCTAGATATAAACTTAATTAGGTTGATATGATATGTTTTTGTAGCTAAACATGGTGATAAACGAATCCTTGAGACTTTACCCACCGGCCACGGTGCTTCCGAGAATGGCGTTCGAAGACATAAAGCTAGGAGATTTGGAGATCCCGAAAGGGCTATCGATATGGATCCCGGTGCTTGCGATCCATCACAGCGAAGAGTTGTGGGGAAAAGATGCAAACGAGTTCAACCCCGAAAGATTCGCATTGAAATCATCGAGTGCGGGACGATTCATTCCATTTGCAGCTGGACCAAGAAACTGCATTGGCCAAGCTTTTGCAATGATGGAAGCTAAGATCATCTTGGCCATGTTCCTCTCAAAGTTTAGCTTCACTATTTCAGATACATATCGCCATGCTCCTGTTATTGTTCTTACCATACAGCCTAAGTATGGAGTTCAAGTTTGTTTGACGCCATTGAATTCTTGAACGCCCTTTTTTGTATTCTCTTCCATTAATACAATCAATACATACATCTTCTCAATAAAAATAACTAATCTCTTCTCTTTTCTTTTCTTTTTTTCCCATTTTTTTTAAAAGTTAAACGTAATAGAAAAGGAAAAAGATGAATCTCATAGCTTGAGAACAAGTTACGAATAGAAAAAAAACACGACAAGAACAGTAACAAGAAATTAAAGTAAAAAATGCAACTAAAATAGACAACCAGATAGCAAAAGGAACACCACATACCTCATAAATAAGATACGACAATAATCTTAATAGTATCTATTTGGGTTTGTAAGGAGTGCAAACAAAACACACATCAAACTTTAGGGAAGGAGAAGATCATGAGTATGTATGTGAGGGATAACATCTTCATTGATGCGAGATATTTTTGGTGAAACAAAAAATAAAGTCGGGTAATACGTAAAGAGACAATATCATATACCATTGTGGGAATGTGAAGAGAATCCCTTGTTCCAATGGATTCACCATGTCATATTTTTTTAAAAAATATTTTTAAACATAAATATTAGATTTAAGTAGATTTGAATTCCAATATGAATTCATTTTATGTTAAATTGTGTGAATAGGTGGACCTCTAACTCTCCTTTTAATTAAAATAAGATTATAGAATTAAATAATTTGTTAAAGTGTGAGAATATAATAGATCTTATCAAATAAATTAAGACACATTCAATTGTATAGATATCCTTCTAAAAAAGAATGAAATTATTCAATTATATATGGAAATTAGAGGGTGTCTTCTTCTTTGGGTTTCATGGTCCATAAACTTAGCAATGATGGTGCCATCACTCTTATATTTATCATTTTGCCTCCAACTTTATTTTATATTAAACAAATCACATTCTTTAGTTGTCATGTCATTGTTAATTATACACCCCAAAACATATCCTAATTCATCACAAAGATAGGTTTAGACTTAATCTAACTTAGTTTATGTGTGCCTAAGAAAATTTTGAAGATATTTCTAAAAGAAATCTTAGGAAATCAATAAATATAATAAATAAATATTTCATCATTTCTAAATGATATATATAAGTCTTCATTTGAGTATTTATATGGTTTAAATACTATTAATTTACGTTAAAAGTGAGCATAGCATAGCAGTAATTGACATATATCTAAAAAAAAAAAGAATAAGAAAGAATACTATTAATTTACCTTCTACTCTTAACACTTTGGTTCATTTTGGTCTTGAATTTTTAAATTATTCATTCTAGTTCACATTGTACTTTCATTTTATTCAAAGCATGGTCATGTATTTTTAAAAAGTAACCATTTTAATTTATGTTTACAAACTTTTAACACAAATTTTATACGGAAACAAAATAGGTAATTAAATTACATATATTTCTTTTAATTTCACAAGAGATTTGGAAACCTGTGTTTAATAATATTATCCCATGATAACTATTAAATATAAATCTATTTGATTACTTTTATTATTTTTTATTTTTTTCTCTGACAACTTAGCACGAGTGGGTTATAGTATATCCAAAAATAAATAATATAATCAAAGAGAAAATGTGAAAGGGAAAAAAGAGGTGGGGTTTCACAATATAATGTGAAGTTGTCGCCATGTCCATATGTGGAGGAGTTCATCCCTAAAAGGGGCTTTTTTATTTTTTTATTTTTAAATTTTTATTTTTAATTCGTTCATCCTTTAAAGTTAAAAAGAGTCAAAATGGGGAAAAATAAAAATAAGTTATGAGATATATTGTGTCTTTGGATTGAAAAATAATTAATATAATAATAAAAGTTAAGATTTAAAATATTCCATTTATTTTGCCCTATCTTATGAAAAGTTTTTGGCTCCATCCCTAGATATGATTTATCCTAATTTATTAATTGATAAAATTTAAGAAAATTAATATCAATTAATTAAACACATGTGATATGTAATTGAAACACGATGGAGATCTCACCTAGCACCTAGGTGTGTGTCAACACATTTAAATAATTTTTCATCAAAAGGATATAATATATATCTTTTATTTATTTATTTATTTTAAATACAAGTAGGCATCCCCTCAAAGAGAGAGAGAAAGAAATACAAGTAGGTGGATCAAAATATTAGAATTTGGATCAGAGAAAAAAAAAAGGATTTTTTTTAATTGAGTCATTACTGGGTAATTTGTATCATCAGACCTCTAGTTTTAAATATGAAAATTATCGTCCCTGTTTAAGATTCCATTTAGTTTTTGTATTTTGAACCTGATGTTTATTTAGTCTCTAAATTTTTAAAAGTTTTGGTTATAACTTTAATATATATATATATATATATATATATATATATATATATATATATATTTATTTATTTATTTATTTTGTCTTTAACAATAATGTTATATGAGTGTCAACTTCAGCATAGATAATCTAAGACATCTATTATCTGACAGAAAAAATCGTGAGTTCGAATTCCTACACCGACATATCGTACTAAAAAAACTGTTATATATTTTTTTTATTAATTA